TAATGTATTTAACACAGTTTTACTGTGGGAAAGTCACAACCCAATTGTATACAATATGACATCTCTTAATGAGGCAATAAAGAATTAACATACCTGAAACCAATGATAGATTGATCACACTATTGTGCTGGGAGCCGCTAAGGGTGATCAATACAAAAGGAATACAGTCAGAATTTAGTTGAGGTGTGTACCTTTACACTAGTTGGTATTCAGGAGACACGACTTAACCAAGAGCTGAGGTCAACTGCCAGTGCAAAAGTAAAAGTCCCCTGTTGTTAGAGCACAGTGCTATGGAACAAGCATGCTGGTATTGTCAGACAAGACCTCCTTCACGGGGCGGGTGCATGGTCTTCACCACTGGTGACAATGAGTTGCCTTGCCATGGCAGGAGCTAATGCCCAAGGTCTTTGGAGAGCTATTTAGACCACCAAGGTGTAGCCTTGTCCAGACTGAACACTCGGATAGTCCTCACAAGCTCTGAATATGTGTACTCTAAATGTCCCCTTGTCATAGTTTTTTCTTCATAGATGCTTAGCAGTAAGAATCAGCAGTGCCCTCAGTAACTGAGCTCGTGAGTACTTGTCAGCAACTAGAGGTATTGAATGACAACATCCTGAAACAACGGCTTTATTCTTAGAACAACTTTAATTATAGAAACAACTTTGGTCTTCAAAATGACTTAATTTTTGCCATAAACTTCTGCATTTGAAATGATCAGTTCACTACACAGCAATAAGCCATGTCTTTTCTACCCTTCTGATTGCATCAAGTTTGCTAATATTCTGTTTCTCAAACCAAGTCCCATAGTCCATACCAGAGTCATACTGGAAGTGGATTATAAGTTGATAAGAAAAAGTATATGGCTACAGAAAGACCATTAACTGTTCTCATCAGTGTACTCTGCCACACCTCAGAATGTGAAAGGAGGGGTGCATTCATCAAGAAAAGGAATCTTAGTAGGATTTGGGTATTCACCATACTCATAATTATTGAAAAACACCCAAATGTCTCCTTTTCAGATCTTTGGCTTCTTTCCTAAACAATGCTACATATTCGACATAAGAGCCCTGGAAAAAAATTAGGAATTTAATTTTCATTTTATACCAAGCCACCCATAAAATTAAAACTTTGTTTTCATACAACTTGTCTTGTACCTACAAGATAAAAGGAATTCCTTGAAGGTAGAACTAGAGTCTTATTTTCTTGTTCTTAAAGCTTAACTTAACCAGAGAATTTACACCTCAGAAAATAGGAATCAACTGAGAACTTCACATCTCTCAATACCAGTCACTCTATCCAAATATCTGCACTAAGAAACTTAACCAAACCCTAGCATGGTGTCTGGAAGCCTACAATCATATTCCTGGGATGACCTGGCCCCCATTAAGTTTCTACCTGAGAAAGCTCAAGTCTGCCCATATCTTTTACTATTTATTCCAGTTAAAATCTAATGACAGGCTTCTGATCTTGCTTTTCTGAGAGCACTTACTTTGGGAAGCTTGCAAATCCTTTCTTAGTCCCTTTGAGATGTGTATGTATCTTCTACAACTCAGGAATCTCTTTCTCAATGACTTGGAAGTCATTACTTTAAAATATAAACATCAAGAAGGATAGAACCCCTTTCTCCCAGTCTTTGTGCGAGAGTGGGAACCAAACTTCTTGAAGCACTGGTTAACAAACACAGACCGCTCAATCTAACTCACTTTGGGCTGTTATAACAAAAGACCGTAGACTGGGTGGCTTATAGACAACAGAAAATTATTTCTCACAGTTCTGAAGCCCGGAAAGCCCATGATCAAGGCACTGGCAGATTTACTGCCTTGTGTGAAACCTCTGCCGGTTTTCTAGGTAGCAGTTGTACTACACCCTCACACGGTGGAAAGAGAGCAAGATAACTTTGTGGTCCTTTTTATTATGGCATTAGTCCCATTCATGAGAATGCCACCTTCATTACCTAATTACCTCCCAGAGGCCCCGCCTCTAATATCATCACTTGGGGGTTAGGATCTCAACATGGGAATCTGGGGGGGACATAACCGTTCAGTCCATTACAACATTCCTGAATGCCTTTCAGTACTCTCCCTTTAGTATATGCCAGTGTTTCAAAGACCCTTATCTTTAGTTCTAGTGAGTTGAGTTTGGGGTACATGATGGTCTCTGCTACTCCAATAGTGAATAAAACCTGCCCTACCAACCTCAACTAGTACTGGGCTTTGTTTTACTTTGACAGAAACCAAGGCAAAGGTAAATTAAAGGTATGACCTTTCCACTGAAGTGTATAGTTAATGTTTGAAAATTTTAACTTAGTTCCTTTTCAAATTCACTGCTGATTCTAATAATGTTTTGATCCTTTCACATTTGCTTCGCTTCTTTATTTCTTTAAACTTATTATCATACATAGTAATTCATATTCTATATATTATATGTATCATATATTATAATATTTTCTACGTTATAATTCAGAAATCTGTGACCTTTGTAGGTATGCTTCTGTTGTTTACTTTCCCACTGATTCTCACTTATGAATACTTTTCTTGTACATTTTGCTTATTGTATCTCTTTATTTCCAAATCATGGTTTTTGGAAAGCTGTCTGTATAAAGATTAATTGTGGATGCTTCTCTCTAAGTGTCTTTTTGTCAGGCACTTGAGTTGATAGCATAACCAGGTCTATGTTAAGTTAAAATATTGGACTTTCAGTTTTTTTATTTTGAATAAAAGAAATTGGAAATACTATATACTCAAACCTGAAATCAGGTGTTAACTGTCCCTTTGGCATGAATTCTTATGGATTATGACTTTTAACTTCCTGCCATACTAAGGTTAAGACAGTGTTCTCAAGGGGCACCTGGCTGTTTCAGTCAGTTGAGCATCTGACTCTTGATTTCCACTCAAGTCCTAATCCTAGGGTCATGCAATTGAGCCCCACAGTGAGCTCTGTACTGCATGTGGAGCCTGCTTACAATTCTCTCTCTGTCTCCCTCTGCCCCTCTCCCCTGCTCATATGTGCTCTCTCTCTGAAAAATAAAAATAATTTTTTTTAAAAAGACAGTGTTCTTTGTTTAATATGACCACCAGATGTGATTTGTCCCCTAGTTTACCCTTTCCATCTTAACTTTTTCTAAGCCCTAACTCTATACAGTATGATCTCCAGTAAGATTTCCTATCCTGTGTAGGTTCAAGGGTTTTCTTCCATTATCCATCCATAAACCAATAATAATCTCTAAGTTAAGAAAATGCATAGATAACCAAAAAATACCCAGTGTCTTCATGACCCACTTATTTGCCAGTAGTTACAATCATACGTTTTGCTTACTTCAGAAATGTATTTCCTTATTTTCTTTCAATCCATTTTAATCATTTTAATATTTTGTTTTCTCCAGGATTATTATTGTTTTGTAGCAAGAATCTTTCAATATTTCTAGTTCACAGAAAAGCCACAAATGGAGGTTTGTTTGGTGTTTTGGGGGGAAAAGTGTTGCTTAATTTTTATTACAGTGTTTGTGCTGGTTACTCTGTCAGCCCTTTCTATTTGGAAATTGAGATCCTTAAATTCTTTAAAAACATCTTTTGTTATTTTCTTGATAACATCCTTTTTTCCTTTTCCTCTATTTTCTTTTCGAAACTTCTCTTATTGAGATGTTGGATCTCTGGTTGATTTTCTTTATTTTTAATTTTTTTTAATGTTTTTATTTATTTCTGAGAGAGAGAGAGAGACAGCGTGAGCAGGGTCAGAGAGACAGGGAGATACAGAATCTGAAGCAGGCTCCAGGCTCTGAGCTAGGTGTCAGCACAGAGCCCGATGCGGGGCTCAAACCCACAAACTGTGAGATCATGACCTGAGCTGAAGTCGGATGCTTAACCGACTGAGCTGCCCAACCAGGTGCCCCCTTTGGTTTGATTTTCTTACACCATCTCTTCAAATTTTCATTTCTGTTTATTTCATCATCTCTATATTCTAATAATTTATTGTTTTTAAAAATTTCTATAATAGTTTTTAAGAGCTCCACCTATTCACTGCATGTTCCATTATATAATATTCTGTCCAATAATTCATGGATCCTTCTATTTTACTTCTGAAGATACTAATTAAGTTTTAAATATTTAAAGATTTTAAAAACAATTTTTAAAGACTAGTTCAAATTTCTACCAAATTCCCATCAGTTTGTTTTTGATTCTATGTTTCTGTTAAGGATGTTTTGTAACGCTTTGTTATTTTTGTTTGCTTATTCCTGTTTAAGAGTAGGGCCCTAAGGAGCTAGCATATCTGAATCACACTTACTAAGATGTTTCCAGGTGTGTATATACATATTTGTGTGACTTTATATTTTTTGGAACTCCATGTATGTAAATTATTTGAGATCTCTGTTGATGGTTTTCCTATGTGAAAGGTTAGAAATTCTTTCTAGAAGTATCAGGCTCATCTGCTAAAGTTCTTAGTCTGACAGTACTGATGTGCTAGAATACTTACGACTGGCAGAATCCTTAAGTCTTTTTTCCTTGACTAATCAGATTTCCTAGTGTAAAGTGATACAGTCCTGGAAAGCAGAAGCCATGCTGCCAGAATTCTAGGAGTGAAAGTGAAAAGGCTTCTCAATCAGATAAATATAATTTATGCTACAGTAAAAGTGGTCTAAGTGATTTATACAAATTTTTATTTTGATCTCCTATTATTTATTCTTTAATGGTAAGCTACGTGTCCTTTCCAATATCATCTTTACTTAAGGGCCCAAGCTATGTATCAGCCTATGAATGGCCATGTTTTTAAAACTACCACTCAAAGGTTAAAGATCTCATGTTCCTTCACGTTTCAAAAGTCAACTGACATGAGTAAACCACAGAAGAATAACCCTTCCCCAGGGAAAGACAGTGCATTTATATAAATAGTAACACAATTTATCATGATCTTACTATCTATAGATATTTATTATCTCTACCTTTTCTCTAACCTACACTCTTCCCATCATCCATAAGTATGGAATCATTCTTATTTACCTTCTGAGAGAGGTAGCCATTCTTCTGCCTGGATTATGTTGGGACAGTTCCTGAGAAGCTCAGGGTATGGATTCTGACTCATGTCTGTGTGCTCTGTGAGATTCTTAGGCTCACCTTCGAGATGATATGAAGTGCTGAAGTGCCAAGAACTGTTATTTTCTGAGTTTAACTATAAAACAAATGACAATGAGGAATTAAAATATATACCAGTTAATTTGTGAGGTCACGTTTCTTATTAAATATTGTTTATATTTAAATTTCATTTAATGCTATATATATTAGAAACAAAAGCAATATAATAAAAGGTGTTGATTTATTCAATAAAAAATATATGTTTATATAGAATACAGAAGAAACAGGAAAGACTGTAGCAAAACTCATTACATAACCACACATCTTACTCTGCTTTTCTTCCCTCTTCCATTGGGAAGTTTTAAATAAAACATACAACCTTTCTTTTTGCTAAAATTTCTCAGACACAAAGGCAGAACTGGAAAAACCACAACATGGTAGTATTAGCATCTGTTTTAGTCAGTTCAAGATGCCATAACAAAATACAAAATAAACTGGGTGGCTTAAACAATGGGGCATTTATTACTCACAGTTCTTGAGGCTGAGGGCTGGAGATAAGGGTACCAACACAGTCAGTTTGTGGCAAAAGCCCTCTTCCCGGATAGCACATGGCTGCGCTTTCTCATTGCATTCTCACCTGGCACTGAGAGAAAGAGAGAGGGGGAGAGGGGAAGGGAGAGATTAAGAGAGTGAGAGCAAATAAGTAGCTCTCTGGTGACTCTTCTTATAAAGGGCATTAATCTCATGAGATCAGGGTCCTGCCATTAGGCTCTAATTACTTCCTAAAGCCTCCATAGCCAGATGCCATCACATTGGGTGTTGGAACTTCCATCATAAGAATTTGGTGGGGGGCAAAAACCTGCAGCCCATACAGCATCCAAATGTCTGGTAATGATGTCAGTTTTTATAACCCATCAAAGAAAGTTTCAAGATGGAGAGAGTTTACTTTCTTTGGGCTTATATAGAGTATTTATGTTTTTTTAAGTCCAGATTATTGACATAATAATAGCATTTTCATGACCACTGTTTCCCCAAGAGCATTGCAAATAAGAAATAGAAGCCTATAATTAAACCATTTTTACTTAAATAATTTAAAATTTTAATTTCATGTTTCATTATATCCTTAAAAATGTAGGTCTTTGTTGGGGGCACCTGGGTGGCACAGTTGGTTGAGCATCTGATTTCAGCACAGGTCATGACCTTGGGTCCATGGGTTCGAGCCCTTCATCCCGTTCTATGCTGACAGCTCAGAGCCTGGAGACTGCTTTGGAATCTGTGTCTCCCTCTTACTCTCTGCCCCCTCCTACATTCATGTTCTGTCTCTCTTTCAAAAATAAACATTAAAAGAAATTTTAGAGGGCATCTTGGTGGCTCAGTCAGTGAAGCGTTGGACTTCAGCTCAGGTCATGATCTCACAGTTTGTGGGTTCAAGCCCCGCTTTGGGCTGTGTGTTGAAAGCTCAGAGCCTGGAGCCTGCTTCAGATTCTGTTTCCCTTCTCTCTGCCTCTCCCCTGCTCATGCTCTGTCTCTCTCTGTTTCTCAATAATAAATAAATGTTAAAAAAAATTTTTAAAGAAATTTTAGAAAAAATGTAGGTTTTTGTCAATATAAAGTTTAGATTTTTTTCCAATAATACATGCATTACATCCCTGTAATTTGAAGGCTAACTTGAAAATGGAAATAAGGAAATTGACAGAAAAAGAATATTCCAAAATATCCAAAAGTTTCTGTTCCTTATTTACAACTTTTTTTTTTTTCCTCAAGGTAGAAGAAGAAGCTTTGTCCTATTCATAAGAACCCAAAATGGGGGGTGCCTTGGTGGTTTATTTGGTTAAGTATCCAACTTTTGATTTTGGCTCAGGTCATGATATCACAGTTCCTGAGATAGAGCCCTGTGTCCAGCTCTGTGCTGACATTATGGAGCCTGCTTGGGATTTTCTCTCTCTCCCTCTCTGCCCCTCCCCCACTCGTGCTCTCACATGCTCTTTCTCTCTCTCAAAAATAAAATTTAAAAAAATAGAAAAGAACCCAAAATGATTTTTAGATCTTTATATATGCACAAATCTGGTATTGTGTAAACCACTTTACATCATCAGTAGTTCATTAGAAAGCATTGTCTATGATTAATTAATCTGAGAAATAATATGAATTCTAAATTAGTTTAAAATGAAAAATTTCTTTCTTCTCAATTTATTTTAGTAAATATATATAAATTTGGCATCAACTTCAATATTTTCCACAATCCAGAGTTTTTATAACCATAATTTAACAATACCTTTTTTTATTAAGATGATATACTGAAAATTATTTTACTTTATTTCTTCAGATGTATTGACCTTTTATTATCTTAATTTTATTTATTTATTTAAAAAAATTTTTTAAGAGAGAGGGGGTGTGAGTGCACGGGAGGGGCAGAGGGAAATGGAGGTAATCCCAAGCAGGTTTTAGGCTCAGCACAGAGCCTGATGTGGGGCTCAATTTGACAACCATGAAACCATGACCTGAGCTGTTCAAGTCTGACACTTAACTGACTGAGCCACCCACGTGCCCTCTTTTTAAAAAATCTTATATCTAATTATCTTTTAATTAGGATTATATGTTCAGTATATACTTTTGGGGTTAAAAGTCCCTTTTTTCAGCTTAAATACTTATACTACATTGACTGACTCCTTAGATAGCAAGTTATATCCTTGATTAAACACTCTTTGAAAATGCTTATACTAATTTTCAAAGCTAATAATGAGTAAGTGCACATGGGCAGTTCTTTTCAATGCCATTTATGCTGTAGTTCTATGTTCCTGTTCCGAAATTAATGTTTTTCTTTTTTAAAGAGAAATTAAAATGGCACTTCACATTCCAAAATACTACTTAGAAATTTAATTAGATATTCCATATTTATTTTTTTTTTTGCAGGCTCTTTTATGTATAGGCAAATTAGGAGACAGGTTTCTCAAATGAAAAATATCATTTCAAACACATAATCTCTTATAAAATTTTAAAAACTAATTCCTTGTTCATTTCTTTACCCTTCTCCTCTTCCTTCTTCTCATGTACCATCACTTCTTCCTCTCTCTGTCTGTAACAAACACGCCCACACACACAAGCATCCCTAGATATTGTTCAGACACATTATATCATAAACTAACAAAAGAAAAATTGCCTTTGGTATCAGATATGTACTGGAGTCTGCATGGCTAGTTTATTTTACGACCTAGGAAAAATCAGTATCTCACACATAAAGTCTGTTTTATAAATTTAAAGTTATAAGCACCATTTTATGGCATTTGAATTATATGAGATGGTGTTTACTGAGCTACCTAGCAATCAGAACATTCTACCAATAAAACTTGAAATAATTGTTGAAGCCGGAAATTAATATAAAGGGGTTAATTATACTATGGTCTTGCCTTGAATGTTGTAGAACATGTTCTAAAAAAACTAAAAGTAAAAAACTTCTAATCCAACAATCGTATATGTCAGCAATTATGCCCTTCATTTCTTTCTCACTTCTTATATTTGATTTTTCTCAAAAAAAAAAAAGGAAGTAAGCATTACATATTGTGGACATGTGCTAGTCCTGGGAGATGGGGCTCATCCCTATGTAAAAGCATGACCCTGAAGAGTTACCTATCATTTAGAAGTCTTTGTACAGTTTTTGAGGATAAGGAAATGAGATAAAATAACCTCTCATAATTCTTCAGGTTACGAAAATTATATTTACATTGTACAAAATTATCCATGTTAAAATTATAATAATTCTAACTTAACTAGTATGTCTAACAGACATTTCCCCCCTCCAAAAAAAAAGCGTGAGAAGTGCAACTATAGATTCTTACCCCAAATCTGCTACTTGTGCTGAATTTATAATTAAATAAATGGCTCTAAAATGCATCTGTTTGTTCAGGCCAAAACCCACAAGGTCTTCATTAAATTCTGACTTTCTTTCATGCCCCTCATTTCATTTTTTGGCAAATACATTTGGTGTAAACCATGATAATTACCTAAACCCACCAATTCTCACCACAATTTCTATTCCTACCTTCAGTTTTTTGCTGGGATGTGATGATAGTTTTGATTAGTTTCTCCAGTCAATTTCAGTCTAAATTTCTTAAGATAAACAATGTAATACTTTGAAATATTAGGAATATCACGTAATGTCCAAGGCTCAAGATCCCTCAATGTCTTCTCACCATACCTAGAATAAAAAAACTTTTTAAATACAATTATATAAAAAGTGATGTAATCTGCTCTGCAATTAATTCTTCAGTTTTATTCCGTATTCTTCACTAACTGCACTGCAATAATGTGTCAGATATACCCTTGCTTTAAAATCTTTGCACTTCCTTTTCACTCCACCAAGCATATATTTATATGGCTTGTTCTCTAGCTCCATTTAAATTTCTTCTTTAGGACAGTTTCTCAGTGAGGATTTCCAACTTCTGGAATTAATTGAAAGGCCTCACAGGAGATAAAAAAGAAACATTCATGAGGTACAACTTTTTTCTGTCTCATTGTTAAGTTATTGGGATTTCTTAGGCTATACGTAGGCAGTATAGATTATGTGACATTTTGTTGTAAAAGCATTGTCTCTCAACTAGACTACCTGTGTGCCTCTATTTTTAATTGTAGACCCAGTAAGTTTTTTAATCTCTCCCATATTGAATTGGGGGTGTCTTTTTGTTGGCTTGATTTTTTATTTCCACACCAGGAATTAAAGAGGTTTACAGAATGTGAAACAATGCTACTCATCCCATTGGAGTGTATTGTTTTTCATTAAAAAAATCTATATTACTACAAAATGAATTATTGTTGCTATTTTAATATTTAAAATTATATAACAAGTTTAAAATGATTAATAAAAATAATTAATACTAAATAGCTCAAATAATTACATATTTCTTCCTAAATGTATACTATTAAATATTCATAGGTATGGGACACATAGTAAAAACTTATGGAAGTTCTTAATTTTTCATTGGTTATAGGTTTCATGAGACCAAAATTTTTCAGAATTAACTTTGAATTAACTCCTCTAATATTCTCTCTCAGTGTCAAAATGGCTCACTGTTTCAAAACTCACCTCACACAATAAAGTTCTGTGTCTAGAAGAGATACATGTCTCTTTTATCCCTGTTAAAGTTCCAGAACATATTTTTCTTATGTTCCTGTTAATATATGCTTAGCATTTAATATCTCTAAACCAGTCACTGTCAAAGTAGAATGTTTAAATTATTCAAGGATCATTCTTTATGGCCTGAAAATGGTTGATCTCATATCACTTATATCACTGAGCCACATAACCAGCAAACATCACGGAAAATAGGGATCTCTCAGGTATAGGTCAATGACAGACCTATAAATGATCCACATGTTGTAGTAAACTGATAAAAAAAAAACTTTAAATAACTGTGATTAAAATGTTGAAAAAAGTAAGAAAATGATGAAATGACTAAAGAGATACAGTTGTAGAGAATTTCATCAGATATGTGAGATGTATGAAAAAGAATGATATTGACTATTTGGAACTGATAAATATTATAAATTAGAGTGAAATATTCAAGCATAAAAATAGATTATTCATAGAGGAAAAAATAGTGAATTAGAAAATAGTCCAATTAAAATATAATTAAAATGAAGCACAAACAAAAATATTAAAACTTAGAGTGTAAATGCCAAATAAAGTACATAGAGAAATTTAACATATGTACAATTGGACTCTGAGATGAAAGAAGGGAAAGTCTGGGATATTTCTTCTATTTCTTCTAGAAAATGTATTCTAAAAGGTTTCAAAACTGATGAAAGATTTTAATCCTTAGATGCAGAATATGTTGCAAACCTAAATAAGAAATGTAATGAAAATCAAACTCAAACATCATAGACACACTCCTTTGAAAGAGTAATGGCAGATTACTCATTGGAAATAACAGAAGTTAGAAAAAAATATAATGATGTCTCAAAAGTGCAGAAAGTTAAGTATCTTTCATGGTAGATTTATTATTTTTGTGGTAAATTTATATATAAGTGTCAATACATTTTAGATTTAAAACAAAATCAAGGCACATTCAGAGCAAAAACAAAAACAAAATTGAGATGATTTTTTATTAGATGGTATAGTTTTAAAAATAATATTTTAGAGGCACCTGGGTGACTCAGTCTGTTCAAGCATCTGACTTTGGGACACCTGGGTGGCTCAGTCAGGTAAGCCTCCAACTTAAGTTCAGGTCAGGTGGAGCCACGCATCAGGCTCTGTGCTGACAGCTCAGAACCTGGAGCCTGCTTTGGATTCTGTGAGTCTCCTCTTCTCTTCTCTTCTCTTCTCTTCTCTTCTCTTCTCTTCTCTTCTCTTCTCTTCTCTTCTCTTCTCTCTCTCTCCACTCTTTCCCTGCTGTCGTTCTGTCGCTGTCTCTGTCCCTCTTTCTCTCTCTCAAAAATAAATAAGCATTAAAAAAAAGCATCTGACTTTTGATTTCAGCTCAGGTCACGATCTCATGGTTGGTTCTTGGGATTGAGCCCCTCCCTGGGCTACGAGCTGTCCTCCTCAAAACCCTACATTTTCAATAATTATATCATCATTTCATGCCATCAACTGTTAAAACTTATTATCTTTTGAAAACTTGATTCTACCTTTGCTTGGTATTCATGAAATATTTAAATTTTTAAAATTCTAAACATGAAATTTCATCATGCATTTTCCAGTCTTCAGGCTTTATTCTAATTATTTTCATCTTTGTTGAATTGAAAGTTTGTTTAATTTCTTTTAGAAATTCAAAGTATACTCTGATTTCTACATGCAGAAGGTTATTATATGTTTTATACTCTGAACAAAAATAGGTGAATAGAATAGATTATATTCATTGCTATATAGATTTTTATAATGTGCACATAATAAAAATTGTTCTTATTTTTATGTTTTTATAGTTTTCCAAAATAGGAATATAGTTCTTTTTCAGAAATTTAGTAATAGTGAATTCTGATTTCTATCAGTTTAGCTAAAATTGGCCTTTTAAAATTATTTTCTTAAAAGATGTAACTATCATATATTGGCATTGCATGAATGCATTATTGAAAGTTTATAGACATTGTAGAAAATGTGAAAAATTAAAGTTTCATTTTCCCAAACATTTTGGAAAAATGTAAAGGTTTTATTAATAATCTAAATTTCAAGCAATTGTTCATTCATAAATAATATAATATCATCTCAAAAACAATTGTAACTTAATGACCTTGATCTCACAGTTGTTCACTGCTTACCAAGGCAATATAAACTGACACTTTAAGTAATATTTAGCAATATACCTGGCCTGAAGGAACAGTTTGATCACATGCTGGCAAAAATGTATGCCCTTACCAATGAAAGAATACTACCCTTAATCTATCAAATTGATATGGTGTGAAACCTAATTAACTATTGTCAAATTCTTATTTGGGATACACATTTCATGAGGTAATATATAATGCATCATTTTAGAATTTTAAATTATAGAATAAACATTGCATAATGAAATAAATGCATTTCCAGGAAAATATTTTAAAAGCTGCTCTTTGTATTGAAATTAGAATATGAAGGAGAAAAAACTATTATCAGTATTTGAGTAATTTTAAAACAATTCTCAGATAATAGTATATTTTTCAGTATGCTCAGGTCATTAGGGTTGGGCTAAAATTATACAAGCAAGAAGCAAATCAAGATAGTCGATTTAGAAAAATTTAATGAACCATCACATTTTAAGTTTATAGACAGTATATTCACTTTGTCCTAATCTTAGAACAATACATAAAGCTATGCATTGAAAAGTTTTGATCTTATCCCCTTTCCTCTCTAAATTATTTTCTCTCCATTTTAGTCCTCCCTGTGAAACCAATTTTATTTCCCGTCATTCCAGTAATTCATTAGAAATATGATCATGTGTTCATATCCAGCCCTTGCATAAATAAAGCATACTATAAAATTTACATTGTAAGCCTGTATTTTTCACTTGAAAATATCACTACCCAGGCAATTTATTCATTAATTTTTTTGTTGTTTCTCATAGACATATGGTAGTGTTGTGAATCAGTCCTGTGTAAACAGGCATTTGTTCTCAGTTGTGCTGTTACTAACAATATTATGATAAACAACTTTGTGTATACGTAAATTTTCTTTATCTGCATAAATGCCTAAAGGAAAATTCCCCAAAGTGTTTGTGGAAGGACCAAGGATATATCTTTTATTCATGATGATAGATTCAGCCAGATTATCCTCCATAAGAGTTTTAGCCAATTTGCAGTGTCACCTGTAATGCTCTAGAAAGCAGATTTTCCTATAGCTGCATCAAATGAATATTGACAACTCTTGGATTTTTGTCAGTTGCAGGATTGAAAAACAATACCTTACTTTAAAACTGCATTTAAAACAGCAATTTTTCTTATAAACATGATTTGAAATAATAACTATTTCTGTGTAAGTTTAAGTCTTTGACACCATTTCTGTGTAGCTTATAGGTATTTTTCTTCTCAAATTATAGTGGTTCGGTACATAATAGAGTAATTCATTGCTTATGCTATACATTTCAAATACTTTTCCTAGTTCATCATTTGTATTTTGACTTTGTTTATGTATTATTTAAACATACAGATTTTTAAATATATTTATATCGTTACAATTTCCATATTGATTTGGACTTTTTCTTGATAAATAGAAAATCTTTCATTTCAATATTAAAATTCAAGAGTCAGTTCAAAATTAAAGATGGAAAGTCCTGGAGCACATGGTTGGCTCAGTTGGTTAAGCATCTGACTTTTGACATTGGCTCAGGTCATGATCTCACAGTTTGTGGGTTCAAGCCCCAGATCTGTGCTGGGCATGGATTTTTCTCATTTCTTTTACAATTTAGTTTTCTTACATTTAAAACTCTGAGTCACTCATAATTTGTTCTGATATACAGTATTAAGGATTCATGCACATCGTCTTTTTTTTCCCAAAATGATTAGTCATCAAACATCGTTGATTAAAAAATTAATTTTTCTGTCATTAACTTGAAATGCCACTTTACCGCTTTTCCTTTTCAGAGTTTTCTTGCCTAGTTTTGATTGTTTACTTTTCTATCTGAACTTCAGGATGAGCATCTTGGTATCAAAAAATAAAGCCTTTGGTATCAAAAAAAGTGCACATTAAATTATCAAATAATCTAGAGAAAATTGACA